ATGTTTGCACAGTAGCAACGGCACATCAGTAGTTGTAGCATTCGTTCTGGTTCTGTGCGCTACGAATGAAGAGTCACAGCTCAAAATCTGAAAATTAAATACTGCATTTCATATTAAAGAGGTACATCTGGCTGGCTGGCTGGCTGGGCTGGATGGGTGTGTGTGTGTGCTCTCGTCTTGTCGTTGTCGTCTTCATGTTTAGGTCTGGTATTATGGTTGCGATTATGTATGCGCCAAGACGTTGAATTGCAATAATAAACACAATGCCATCGTATCGCATCAAAATCAAGAAAAATCTCTCTGTCTCTCGTTCGCTCTGCCCGACATTCATTTCTTTTTCCTTCGATTTGCCTCTATTTTACTTGTTCATTTAAAATACTTTTAGTTTGACTATTTACGGACAATACTGAATATGAAATCAGTTGTGTGTTTGTATTGTACTTACTCGATGCCATCGTAAATGAAAAATATATCAATTTGAGAGATTCTTTCGACGAGACGACGGAACAGAGGAAGAATAAGTAAGAAAAAAAAAGAAGAACATGAACAGTTAATAAACAAGAAAAATACCGACATAAAGAGCACGTAAGAAAATTCCTTTCGGAAAAACTTTTTCTGTAAAACTTTTCGTTTGCCACATCGCAAAATGCCATTAGGCATGCGAATGAATTGTCGGTAAAGTGCATTCATCGAAATGAAAGCGTTTCGGTAAATTCGGTATTTTTCGATCGCAGCATATATCAAACTCGATGATAAATTAAATTTAATAAAAATGAGCAAGTACTCCTTCTGGTATTTTTTTTTTTCAATGCAGTCTCCCCCTCCCGGAAAAGTTGTTGTTGTGTGTGAGAGAGAGATAGCTTGTTGTGCCTGCCACACATTGACTCACCGACGAAACCGATATCAAAGTAGTTGGCAAAAATAAATAAACCATCGTTGATGTAATTACTATCTATCGATTGCTGATTTGCCCAACAACTGGAAATGAGCGGAAGAGGAAAAATGAACAAAATGTAATCAATATTTGAAAAGTTTTCCTATTTCAAATTGACAGCCAGCAGGCAACATATTGCCGTTGATGCAAGAACAACGCCATACAAAGAATAGAATCAAGGGGAAAGAAGAGCGAACAATAACTGACAAGAAAAAAAAGAAGTACTAAGAAAAAGTGAGGAACAAAGCAAATAAAAAACAAAACATCAATAAGTAGCTCCAAATTCATGAACAATTTATATATGCTCTTGATACGATGATACCGAAGGCGCATTGTTGACCCGAGTTTTTGCTCCAAATTCGCAGAAAGGAGACGAAGCATTGAAGGAGGCGCGCGAATACCGGGAAATTGAAGTTTCTTTTTCGTAGAAAACATACACATAATGTCCGATTCGAGAAGCGAATCCCAATAAACACAAAAGAAACAGCCGTTCCGCTGGCATGACAACAAAAGACAAGACGGAGGAAAAAAAACGATAAATTGAACTACTTTGCTATAATTGAGAACATAATGATTGAATAAATAATTATTACCGATCCGAAGAACAACAACATCCCGTCGAATACAGGATAGGGATTGAATGCGATGGGTATGATTATATTCGGATGTATATACATCATATGAGACATGCCTTATGGTATGAGAGGTGAAGGAGAAGAGGAAACCACGCAAAATTGAACGAAAAACTTTTCGAAATCGATGGATTGGGCGAAGAAAGCCGAATAAGAAATGTATGGAAGTTGTTGTTGGTTTTTTCTTTATCCTTGCGCCCGTGCTTGTGAGTGTGTTCGTAATTCTCATTTAACATTCACATTGGAATCGCATTTACGCGAGGCTTTGGCCAAGTTTTTCATTTTCCATTTGATTGAATAGCCAAAAACCCCGGGCCAGAGAGTTATAACTAAACGCTAATAAAATTTACGGGCGCTTCTACTTTTATTATTATTACTATTTGATGTAGTCTTTTTCTTCCGTTACCGTTGTTTGTTATGTGTAATGGAAGTGTGCCCTCATTTTACTGACTCTCAAAATGGGCCCATATAAACAACATCAAAAGCATGGCTGAGATTTCCGCATTCACTTCCATCCAATGCGTTTGCATTATTAGCAGTAAACTGTTAAATAAATTATTTATAATGTAAACAAAACCATTTTGGCGTAGGCGATCCACCGATTTTACTCTTGCCGACGAAAAAAAACTAAGTGTGAAGTTTTTCCATCGCCGTGGAGCGGTAACAACAGTAGCTATAGCACACACGTCACTTTTCATCATTTTATCGAATAATTTTTGATGTTCTTCCTTCAATTTGATACCTACACATTAAAGATTGATGGTACGCCATTCATATTTTTCTGCCATTTATTGACGCAATTGAACGAAATGAATCCTTTTATATGATCTGGGCCTATAAATGAAACCGACACAAAAAATATTGATATTTTTGATGGATCCCCAATTACATTTGGTATACTCTGCTGATCTCGGTCAGTTTTTGTCTGTTGCCATCGGATACATTGCTGCCCACTCACATTATACCCAGAAATACAGTGAAAAAACAAGACCGCAGAGCTTTGCTTCGCTCCGCTCTGCGTTCTTGAGTTTTTAAGTTACTTAATCTATTTTGTTGTTTCACAACAAACTATTTTTTGGCGCACTACATGAAATGTATTTCATCAAAGTAACTTCGAAGTAATATATTTATTTGCAAAATGAATTACAAGATCTTGGTTTAATTTCTTTTTTGAAATATACTGCCTTTGGTTTAAATTAAATAAAAAATATGGGCATAAAATTCAAGTTCACCATAATTTGTTTCAACGCTCAAAAAGTATCTAGGAAAAAAAAGAGCAGATTAGTAGCTCTACATTTCATGTAGTGCTAAAAAACGAAGGTATTCAACTTGAGATAAAAGATCCGTGCAAGTGAGAATAAGAGAAACGACAGATTTTTCCTAACGGCTAGCATTGAATCAAAGCAAATCAAAGCGTTTCGTGAATTGATGGCGTTGGGAGATGGCCAAAGTTTCTCGTTCTATACAAAAACTGCCCCGTCTGCCGTAGCTTTACTACGACACAATCTGGTTTTCGATTCGGGTTTTTTCATAGTACACACACACATTTCGATACGCATCAAAATTTTGCTCTTGCTCGCCTTGATGTGCAATTTTTCGTGTTCATTATTATGTATTTATTATATCATCTACTTTGATATTCTTTGCGAGGCTGCAAGAGATCGATGGGCGAAAAAAGGCGAAAAACCAAATGCCAAAGTGAAACTGGTAACTAAGAAGAACAAGTAGAAAAAGAAGAAAAAGACGGGAAAAAGCTTGAGGAAGTATGTACGAAAATAAAGGCGAAAAACTTTTTCATTCCATTTCCAAACATGTGTGAGAGCAAACATACATCAAGACCGCGAAACACGACACCCAAACGGAATCACTCCCATGCATTAAACAATTAACCAAATAAAAAAAATATACCAAATTCCGTTTTCCTCCATAAGCAAATACATTTTAGCTGAAGCACTCTTCCGGAGAATACCACGAAAGCTCCACATCCGACCACACTCCTTACACTCAATGCTGTTGTTGTTTTTTTTCTTCGCCGCTGCACACGTAGCACTCAAGCAAACAATCCATCGTCATTCGGCAATATGAAAAACATAAACACTTCCGAAAGATAGTAAAGTTCGAATTCCGACGAATTTTCCAAACATTTTAATGGCAAATGGTGGTGGTATGTGTGTGTCTGTGTGTAAAAAGCATTGTCATGTTTGCCTTGCTGTTTGTTTTACTTTCTTTTTAATAATTTTCCAATGTGATGGCTATCGATTTGCTGAATTCATTATTATTATGAACAAAAGTTGTGTCCCCTGAAATTCAATTCATTTGATTGGAATCTGACGGCCTGCTCAATCATATTGAAACAAAGGAAACCAAAACGGAAAGAAAAACTTTCGAAACCGATTTTTTTTTCGCCATTTCCAGGATGATTTTATTCGTTAGTTCAATCATCGCAAAAATAAATCAAATCATTTTAAGTCACCAGAGGATGAAACAAAATAAGAAACACTATCAATCAAATTGTTGCTATAACTCATTCGAGCGAGTTTTTTTTTCTCCCTTTGGGTTTTTGTCTGTGGAACCCGAGAGAAGACGCAACGATTATTTTTACAAATCGCTGCAAAGAGGATATTCTCAATTAATCATAACGGATGAACTACTCTCTTATACTTTTTTGCTCAAGCGACAAAAGGTAAACATTAAGAGGTAGAAGTAAAGAGCTTAGCATGGGCTCGGGTGCGGGTTCTGTTGCTTATTGCAAGCCGTTCAATATTATTGGCTATTTTCAATAATCGTTTCTTTTTGCTTATTTCCATATCTAATTTATGTGTCGCTTCACCAGCGACTCGGCTAAATGTTTAGTGTTGTCGTTGGACGATTCACAGCCACAACGAATGCTATTTATGCATGTATGTTATGCATATAAAGTTGATAATAATCGTCGATATAAAACGGTGTGCGCGTTTAGCGAAAGATGTTTAACATGTAAAGGGAAAGAGACAGAGTATCAGCGGCCCCATAAGAAATGTGTCGCCTGAACGATTTAGAATTGTAATTTATGCAAATCATGTTTACTGCAATTAACGCACCGCAACGCAGCTAATATAGGAATTAGGCGCGTTTCGGAATGGAATAAATATGCATTTAGATTGACTCTGCGAAACACACACACACACACACAGCACTAAAGCATCGACAACGAACGGGAAGACGAACGCAATAAGAAAAATGGTGGAGAAAAAGAGATAAAAATGACGACGGTACGAAGTGAGGCTGGAAAAAAAAATGGCAAAACAGACGAGATAAGAATTGTCGTTCGATCATTAGGCATTTTAATTCTTACAAAATAGCTTAAGCTCATTAACGAGATAAATATTGTAAATCTTTGATATAATGGCATGGCATTCTTACGACCCGATTCTCTTTTTTTTTTCATTCTACAGAGTGGATTTCCATCCAGAGCGAGGAGTTTATGATTTGCGCATCGAGAATACATCGTACAATCGAGACAATGGACGGTTTGAGTGTCGTATCAAAGCGATTGGAACTGGAGCCGATGTTCATCAGCAATATTATAATATAACAATTTTGACACCACCACAACCGCCAATGGTCGCTCCAGGCACCATTGCCACCGCCACCGAAGATAAGAAATTGGATTTGACATGCAGCAGCATCGGTGGTTCACCCGATCCAACCATCACGTAAGTATTCATAGTTCAATAATTTTCCAACATTTTTAATCTCATTCTCTCGATGACAAATTAATTCGCATCAAAACTTGAACCATTTCGATGGATCATTTCCCAAAACATGATATACACGCCACGTCACTGTCAAAAGACAAATTGAATAGAAGAAATGAGATATTGAAACGGTCCGAAATGTGGCCGGATCGATTTTGAATACGTGGTAGCATGTAACAAATTCGTGTGTTTTTTTTCTCTTTTCTTTTCAGTTGGTACCGTGAAGGAAGTACGATCCCAGTGCAAGCACCAATCAGTCGTGGTGGATCAAAAGATCGTCAAACAACCAGCACTCTGTCAATAACGCCACAAAAAGAAGATGATGGTGCAAAATATCGTTGCGTTGTATGGAACCGTGCCATGCCCGATGGTCAACGTCTCGAAACAACTGTCACATTGAACGTTAACTGTAAGTAGCTGTTGATTTATTTCATTTTTTTTTCTGCATTTCCCCAATGATTTGCCATTTCGAGCAGTTTCCAATTGAATTCGATTTATTTTTGTTTCGTTGTTGGATCGCAAGCAAATCAACCAAAATGCCTTTGATTCGCGGGCCAAACGGCCAAATGAACCGAAAGGAAAACATGCGAATCATTCGATCAACTCGAACAGCAAAATCACATTATTTCAATTGAATACACACCTAGAACTTCACCGCATTTTACATTCAATTGCAAAGCGTTTGTGTGTATTTGTGTGTTGTTGCATTCGCTTCGGTAAGCCGAAAGCGTTCGAAAGAACGTACAGGATAGGTTTTCGCTTCAATTTTAATTAAAATATAAACAAGTTCTGGCAGAATCATGCCATTTAGAATGTTGATGACGATAATGCTGCTGCTGCTACGGAATAACATACAAGCAGCTATTTGTATCGCATCGAATTAAACCAGTTTTAGTAACAAAGTTGATAACAGCGACCACAACCGCAACAACCGTTGAGCTCTCTATGCTCGATGCTGCTCATCAAATACAAAAGCATGATGTGTACGCCGCTGCTTTCGTCGCTGCCGCTGCTGCCTTTACACGCATTAAATAAATGTTCACCGAAATCAATAAATTGACGGCAAAAACTCTCCAAACACATATACACATACAAAACACAAACTTTCCGAAAGTGCCCAGAGAATGCACTCAAAATGAAATATATGGTTGAAAGCATGGGGCACGTCGAAACAATTTAACATTGCTATATCGCTCTCTCTCTCTCTCTCTCTCTCTCTCTCTCTCTTTCTCTCTTTTGCTCTCGCTCTCGCTCTGGGTGCATGTATATCGATAACACTGGAATCAATTAAATCTTTGGCCGTATTTTCGTATGATTATTTTCGATAGATATTTATATATAAAATGGCAAACTATAGCATAACGTAAATAAATGCACTTTGATAAGAATCAAATTCTAATTGCAGTTTTCATAATGAATTATTATACTATCAAACACAAAAGTGTTTCATGCGCTCGATACGCGTTTCATCCAATATTTTCACAATCATATTTCAAGCGAACCAGCAGCGCTGTTTCCCCCCCATGGAGCGTCAACAAATTCAATTTAAATTTTATAACATGAAATAAATTAAAACCACAGAGAACTATACCGACAAAAAGCGAGCCCGAGAATGGACTGCCAATCGGTTTTTTATGCGAAGCATGTCATGGGATATCAAAATCACTTAAAAATGTGGATTTATAAATTAAAACCACGATGTCTATGTGTATGTATGTATATTTAGTTTATTTGCAAAGCGATCCAACGATTGAGGTGATCTTTTTGTGGCTACAGAAAATGTTAATCTATTTTACACATGACCATTACACAATCGATTCGATTTCAACAGCAGCATTCCAATATATTCTAGCGCATTTCACCTCGTCCGGATTAATTTCATCAAAATATTTCGCTTGATTTGTGCCTTTGAAAGAGCAATCGAATGTAATAATTTTAAGTATTTGCACAGAGCTTACCTTGCAGCTGTTTAATTCCATCCAAACTCAAAATTCTTGAGATGCTTTCCGGAAACGAAAATACATCCCGAGACTATCATGCTTTTGGAGTATTCAGAGAGTGAACAAGATAAAATTCAATTAAACAGCTCTGGCCAAAATGGTTGTGATAGAAAACATGAACAATTTCCATTGTTATTTTGGTCCAAAAAGAACCCAGAAATGTATTCAGCAATCAGTATCTAATTTTTAGATATGCTACACACCCAGTGCTTTTGCTTGAACGAAAGAATATCAATTAAATTAATTATTTATCAAATATTCATGGACGAGAGCCACTATTGGCCACTGGTACACTACCGAAACGAACATTCAAAAAAGTGAAAAGCAAAATATTTCATATTTCTTGCGTAATCGTCGAGTGTTGCTGTTGTTGCTTTCCAAATTTTTCGGAAAATGGTGGAGTGAATGCCGACGACTGTTGGATTTTTAAGTGAGTGGAGCGCCCATCTCACGTCCCAAATCGTTTTCATTAAATTTAACGTTCAAAACTAAAAACAACCACCGTACCATTCCGTTTTCGTTTGTTTTGCTAACGAATTTCCAACCGAATGTGTACTTATTCGTAGTATTTAATTGTACATACACATGTGTGTCTATGTGGCTCTTGCTCGCTACTTCTATGTATTTACCGTACGTATTTTTGTTGTTCAAATGCAATAACGATATATGTATACATACACACACACTGAGCCGATGACGGTAAAATGGAACGGATTGCATGTACGAATTACGGCTACGTGTTCTCATTAGACTGTGGAGCTAAATAAATGCGATAGCATAAACATTCACATCGGGTCGGATGTGTGGTATGAGCACATATTTTGATTTACTTAACATAAAAACGTACAACGAGAGAGAGAGAGAGAGAGAGAAAGAGCACTAGTGCGAAAGATTTTCCGTTGATAAAATTTTTGGTGTGTTGATATTTTGAGTTCTTTAGTTGTTTGAAATTGGAGTTACTGCTGCAATCAAGTTTCGCCAAGCTTAGATGATATCCACTTTTGAATCTGTGCAAAAACTATTCGAGCTACGAGTGTATGTGTGTGTGTGTGTGTGTCTGTGCATCGAAGTGTCTACTCAAGTTATAGCCACGTAATCATCGTCTTTAATTAGCTCCTTTGTATCAATACGGATTTCCCAAATGCACAGACACACACACACATACAAGATGCGCTTGGCAGTGCACGTAAAGCAGCAAATTAAATCGATGCCTCTTCTAATTATAGCCGATAAATCTAATGCTGTTTTGGCATTTGTAACACGAATCCGCTCATAACTTGTTTAGGATAATTGCAGTTTAGGTAAACATTTTGTGAGATTTTCACATGTTCAAATATAATAATAATCGAAATTCGATACAATTTCGAAAATGGATGAGGTCAGCCCATCCAAATAGATCACTTTAAATGATATAAGTTTCGGTTGACACATGTCGTATTGGGGTGGATGATTTGGTGCTTGACACTTTTTGGAAAGCAATCTAAGCGAACAGACAACAGCATATGTAAACAGCAATGATGATGCTACTGGATGTTGCTGTTGATTCTGTTGTCACCGTTATTTTCTGTCTGTATGACACTGGTTAACAAGCGCACAATAGCGGCTCTGTCAAAGTGAATTTCGACCAAATTGCCGGAGAATTTTTCGACAATTTGCATCCCTTTGATTGTAGCCCGGATTCTTGCTAATCAAATGTTTTGGGCGATTTTGCAATAAAAAATCCTTTTTGGACGTATACACTGGCCACCAATTCGCAATCATGCGCGATGCCAATGGCACATCGAGCGATATTATACATTTGAATTGTATTCTATTGTCATTAGCCAGAATAATGATAATAATCTCAGTGCAAACACGCATTTGGAATCAAATTTACGTAAATTAATTGTATGAAACGATTTTCATGCTTTCGGTAATACATAGAATGTGACTATGATGGTCAGTCTATCCAACAGCGCTGCCGCAATTCAAACATTAATAGCATATTCCGGGAAAATCGTATGGCTGCCATAGCTATATAGCTAATGTTAATATGTATGATGTAACTCAATCTAGGAATATCAGTTGCAGTTCAAAAATTCCAATCTATATGTGCGTTTGCCGATGCTATTATCTAGACCATGCTCTTGGTGAGAGAGAGATGGCTTTGCTGAAATGGGAGAAATGTTAAATAATTTATGAAGTGCAATAAAACATTCAAATTTATTATATTCTACGTGGATGTCTTGCGGGTGCATCTCTCTTACTCACTCGCTTGCTCGTTCGTTCATTCAATTTGGTGTATTTTGGTCTCCATTATATTTATTTGCAGAAACATTACACTTTCATGCCATTCGAAAATGTAAACAACCTGAAACTGATAATAATTTATAGTTTTCAATGTTTGCTTTTAATTGCAATCCAAAAATTGTTGCAAGGCGAAATTCCTTTGTCTCGTATTTTCCTTAAAGTCACGTACGACCGGCAACCAGGGTAAACTTTGAATCGATCAAAACTGGTCGATTTTTTTTATGGAAATTCACTCAAAGTATCACATTAACTGATGATGTTGAATTGTTTTTCTCTCGTTGTCGTGCGAAACTATTGATGTTGGACAATGCTTGATGGACAATGGAAATAGTCTTGTTGTTTCCAAACGCGCGCTGCTGCTGCTGCTGCAGTACCTCACTGTGTGTTGTGTGTACAAAAATTATCGCATTTTCCGTTTAAAAGTCATAAATGGAGCGATGGATGCAACACACAAATATGGCATCATTCTAAAATTGGATCGATGCAACGTGATGATGGTGGGCTAGCAATTAAAATAATTGCTTTCACATACTTCAGTCTCTCTTGCATTTGGATTGCTGTTGATGCCATGGATGTGGATGTGGTTGCAGCCGATACAAACTTCATTCGCTCTATCTCCATCTCTCTTTCACTCGCTCGATCCAAGAATTCCAGCTCGATGCATCGTAAACGCAAACACAGCAACACACAACCTATCAAATCATATACGATCGATGCAGAGAAATCCATTTCGTATTCCAGTTATTATATGTCGCTCACTCACTGTATGTATATGTGTATATATGCGCTCTGGTCATTTTTATTTTAATGACATTACAATTTACATACATAACGACAGAATTCATATTTTAGTGAGCCGATTTGCGGTTGCCTCACCCCATTCTAATGCTATAGTCAAAGCTAAAGCTATTACATTTCCATTCGTATTATTGGCAATCGGATTTGGCCGACGAGATACAACAATGGCGATTGGCCGTCCACCATCGACATGCAAAGCTGTCTTCGGTCACCGATTCACTCTATTGCCACTATGCTTTGACTATGTCTCTATCTCGGTATGTGTGTGTGCGTATGTGTATTCATGCGTTTGTTTAATCATTTTATTTCGCCAACTCGTATC